GGGATAAGATTCTTATGATTCAATAGTAAATAGTTATCATGACTAATTATGACTGTCACAACTGCAAAAGTAAAAGTTTTGTAATAAAATGGAAGGAACAGTTAATCTTACAGTCCAGAACAGAGGATCCTAGGACCATCAAGGGAGAAGAACACCAGCAGAATGTGGAACTCTATTCACAGAAGCAGTGACACCACAGATGAAGCAGAGATGTGTACACAGAGAGACAGAGCAGCCAAAGACTTTAGACTAATGGACAGAAAAAGGCGTGTGCTGGTGGCCAAGAGGCAGGCTTACAGAATGTGCCCTTTGGTTGTTTACATGATTATATATTCCTGGGTGTTTTTATATACATCCCTCCCCTCCCACTACCACCACCAAAAAAGAACCAAAACAAAAAACAAAGGGAATAGTAGCAAATACTGTTGAATGATGATGCACAGAGGAAACTGTAATCATTGCAATGAAACAATGAGTGTAAAAATGATGTTCATCCATGTAAACTATCACCCAATTCACAATTAAAGCTTATAATTTTTTTTTTTAAAGGAAAGTTCTTTGCAGTACATTTGCCCAATGCAGTGTTATTTGATTTTTTGACTGCTACTTCTATAAGCACTAATTGTTGAGCAAAATAAAATGAAATCCTTGAAAATTTCAATCTTTTCTCCCTTTACCATGATGCTGTCTATTGGTCCAATTGTGTTGTAATCCATATTATACTCTTTGATCTTCATTAATAAGTATTTCAAGTACTCTTCACTTCCAGCAAACAAGGTTGTGACATCTGCATATCACAGCATATTAATGAGCCTTACTCCAATCCTGATGCCACGTTCTTTTTCATATAATCCAGCTTGTCAGATTATTTGCTCATCATACAGATTGAATAAGCATGGTGAAAGGATACAACCTGATGTACACCTTTTTTATTTTCAAAACCAGTTAGTCTCCCACTGTTCTGTTTGAAGGACTGTCTCTTGTTCTATGTACAGGATCCTCATGAGCAAAATAAAGTGTTATGAAATTCCTATTCTTTGCGAAGTTACCCGTAGTTTATTATGATCCACACAGTCAAATGCCTTTGCATAGTCAATAAAACACAAGTAAACATTAAAAAAAAAAAAAAAAAAAATCTGTCTTAGAGTATAAAGCTGTCGATGATAACAGTCATACTACTGTGTGAAAGGAAGACCGGAGTTTTGGTGTGGTACTGTGGGTTAATGCACTGGACTGTAAAGTCAGTTTGAACTGTAAGGTCGGCAGTTCAAGCTTGCCAGCCGCTCCTCAGAAACCCCATACAGAGTCACCTATGAGTCAGAACCGACTCTACGGCACTTAACAACAACAAAAACAATGAGGAAGACCAGTTAATACTATTTTTCAAATTTATACACCAACCATTAAAGCCTGTGAGGAGGAAATTGAAGAATTCTACCAACTTCTTCAGTCTGAGATTGGTCAAACACGGAACCAAGAAGTATTGATAATTACTGGCAATTGGAATGCAAAGGTTGGAAACAAAGAAAAAAGATCTGTATTTGGATAATATGGCCTTGGTGATAGCAACTATGCTAGATATCACATGATAGAGTTTTACAAGATCAATGACTACTTCACTGGAAATACCTTTTTTAAATAACACATGGATCTAACCAGATAGAATACACAGAAATAATATTGACTACATCTGTGAGACAAGATGGTGGGAAAGTATCATATCATAAGCCAAAACAAGACTAGGGACAGATAGTGGAAGAGACCATCAACTGCTTATATACAAATTCAAGCAGAAGCTCAAAAAAATTAGTATAAGTCAAGAAGAGCCAAAATATGACTTTGAATCTATACCAACTGAATGATGAGATGATCTGAAGAACAGATTTGATGCATTAGACACTAAAGACAGAAGACCAGGAAAGTAGTGAGCTGACATTAAGAACATCATACAGAAAGAAAGCAAAAGATCATTAATAAGACAAGAAAGAAGGAAAAGACCAAAATGGATGTCAGAAGAAACATTGAAACTTGCTCTCCAGTTTTGAGATGCTAAAGCAAATGAAAGAAATGAGGAGGTAAAAAAGCTAAACAAAAATTTCAAATGGCAGCCCAAGAAAACAAAGTCAAATATAATAATGAAATGTGCAAAGACCTCGAGTTAGAAAACCAAAAAGGAAGAACATGCTCAGCATTTCACAAGATGAGGGAAATAAAGAAAAAAATCAAGCTTCGACTTGCAATCTTAAAGAATTCTTTTGGCAAAATATTGAATGACTTAGAAAACATCAAAAGAAGACGGAAGGAATACACAGAGTCACTGTACCAAAAATAAATGGCCAATGCACAACCATTTCAAGAGGTAGCATATGGTCAAGAACCAGTAATCCTGAAGGAAGTTCAACTTGCATTGAAGGCACTGGCAAAGAACAAGGCTCCAGGAATTGATGGAATACAAATTGAAATATTTCAACAAACTGATGTGGCACTGGAGGCACTCACTTATCTATGCCAAGAAATTTGGAAGATAACTACCAGGCCAAGTGACTGGAAGATATCTATATTTGTGCCCATTCCAAAGAGAGGTGATCCAACGGAATGCAGAAATCATCTGATGATATCATTAATATCGCATGCCAACTAAAATTTTGCGAGAGATAATAGAGAACTGTCAGAGGTTTAAGCCAGATTCAGATGGGGTGTGGAAAGAGGGATATCACTGCTGGTTATCAAATGGGCCTTGACTGAAAGTAGAGTACCAGAAAGATGTTTACCTGTACTTTATTGATAACACAAAAGCTTTCGATTGTGTGGATCATGACAAGCTATAGACAACACTATAGAGAATGTGCATTCCAGAACACTTAATCGTGATCATGAGGTGACTCTGAATGGTTTAAAATTAGGAAAGGTGTTTGCTAGGATTGTTTTCTTTCACCTTACTTACTCAGTGTGTATTCTGAGCACATAATCCGAGAAGCTGGATTATCTGAAGAAAAACATGGCATCAGGATTGGAAAAAGACTTATTAACAACATGAGATATGCAGATGATACCACTTTGCTTGCTGAAAGCAAAAAGGACTTAAAATACTGACTGATGAATACCAAAGACCACAAGTATGGGATGGACCTCAAATCCTCACCACTGGATCAATAAATAATAGTCATATAAATGGAGAAAAGATGGAAGTTCTCAAAGACTTAATTTTGCTTGGATCCATCATCAACACCCATGGAAGCAACAGATAAGAAATCAAATGGCATGTTGCATTAGGCAAATCTGCTGCACCAGAACCCTTTAGTTTTCAAGAGCAAAGACGTCAGTTTGAGGATAAGGTACACCTGCTGATCCAAGCAGGTAGTTTCAATTACCTCATATGCATGTGAAAGTTGGACAATGAATAAGGAAGATCACAGAAGAATTGATGCATTTGAATTATGGTGTTGTAGGAGAATTAATTAAAAGTATCATGGACTACCAAATGAACAAACAAATATGCACTGGAAGAAGTACAGCCAAATGTTCCTTGGAAGCCAAGATGGCCAGACATCTGCTCTCATACTTTGGGCGTGCTATCAGGAGGGACCAGTGTCTGGTAAAGTGGAGGGTTGGAGAAAAAGAGGAAGACCCCCCAACAAGAAAGAATGGCACAGTAGCAGCTGCAATTCGCTCAAGTATAGCAACGACTGGGAGGTGGGCACAGGACAGGGCAGAGTTTCGATCTGCTGTGCATAGAGTCACTATGAGTCCGTACCAATTCAACGGCAACTAACAACAACATGCAGTCCCCTGTGCAAATATCAATTTATGGACAACTCCTACTTGCTGTTTTAGCAGAATTTTGGGCCAGTTTGAACTGGTTCTGTCATGGACTAACAAAGTGAAACAAATACAAATCTGAATTCTTACAACTTGGGTGACTGGTGACAGTAACCAGACTAGAAAAATTATGGGTGGAAACCCTGGAAATGAGGGTCTTGGAAGAGGCATAGTGAACTTTCAGGAGCTTCATCCAGGAGATTGGATTATTGGCAGGGCTATGGAGAGTCACATACATTCAAAATGGTAGGGTCAGCTGCCACCATTACCTTACATAATGCATACATGGTATACTGGTGCTGTGCCAGAAGATCAGCATTGGACAGCTAACCACAAGATTCATGGTTCAAACACCAGCTGCTCCGTGGAAGCCATATGAGTCAGAACTGACTCTAAGGCACTTACAATAATGCATACAAGTCTAATCAACAAAGAAAGAGTAATGAAGTGGAAAAAAAGGGTTAGTCTGTCATGACTTGTTTCTTAAAAGAACTAATGCTGCTTTATCCTAATCATTGCTTTTCTTAAAGCTCTACCAAAAGGAGTAACAAAGTACAGGTAGAGTGAAGCACAGAATTTGAGTCTCTATAATTTAACTATAAGGACAAAAGATAAAAGTCTCAAATACTGAGGAGATAAAAACAGAAACATTATAGCTCCTTATTTAATAATAAAAATGTAGCATTTATTGCAAAAATTTATAAAATTTCAAGTTGATACTTTGGCCTACAAAGATACATTTTAGATTTATATTAGTTATTAAAAAATCTAAGTTGGATTTAATACAAGGGGTTTCAAAAAGTTCATGGAAAAATTCCATTGTATTTTTATTTTTGAAGCCAGCTTGTATATCTAAGTAAATTTCACTTAATTAAACAAATAATATTAAACAGAATAGGCAACAATTAAAAAAACAACAACCGGTAATTCTGGCTGAATATTATCATGTGAAACCAGTTTGGCCCATAATCTAAATTACAATGATTCAGAGTTAAATGAGACCTGGTAGACATAGAACAATTCCTTCATTTCATAGACAGGGACACTGAGGCTGTCATAGATACAATGGTTAATCAAGGTTATCAAAAAATACTTAAGGCACGGCTGGGCTGCCATTGATGTTTTCCAAAATTGGGGGAAGGAAGGAAGAAGGGAATAACACCAATAAAAAACTTTCTTACCAGCTGGACTTCACCAAAAGCACCTCTTCCAATCACTTTTACAACATCATAGTCTTCTGCCTTCATCTGTAGACCTCTAATTTTTTTCACAATTTTCTCATCTATAATAGAAAAATCACCATATGTGTAATATCAATCATATTTAACTATTAATAATCACCATATATGTAAACAAATTTTCATTTCAAGGAACCAGATTTAATTTTCAGTTAAACCCAATACTTTTAAATGCTACTTTAAAAAAATTTTTAAATACCCACTAACTTAATATCAATGAACCAAAAATCTCTATGAATCATTAACATATATAAACCAACACTGGTGGTAGTGGTGGTTGTGTGCCATCAAGTCAGTGCCAGCTCACAGAGATACTGTATAGAGTTTCCAAGGCTATAAATATTTATGAGAGCAGATAACCTTATCTTTCTCCCATGGAGCAGCTGGTGGATTTGAACTGCTGACCTTGGGGTTAACAGCCCAACACATAAACCATGCCACCAGGGCTCCTTTAACGAACACTACTGATTATCAAATAGTTGTTATTTTTGTTAAGTGTCACTGAGTTGGTTCTGACTCATAGAGACCCTGGGTTTCTAAGGAGCAGCTGGTGGGTTTGAACTGCCAACTTTGCAGTTAATAGTTCAAGGTTTATCCTACAGCACCATTGTAGAAAGGTTGTTTTTACATGCCATCGAGTCAGTTCCTATTCACAGTGACCCTGTATACTACTTCTGAGGAGTTAAAAATTTACTGTGTGCTACAGAGTAATGACCCAAGAAATTCTGGTGTGCATTCTGAATCATGAAAGAAATTTTAAGCTACTTCCAAGGTTAATCTTACTTGTTGTTAAGTGCCTTTGAGTCAGAGCCAACTCATAGTAACCCTGTATAGGGTTTCTAAAGAGCAGCTGGTTAGTATTGAATTTTAATAGCCCACTTCTTTGAAAACTGTTAACTGTATCTATGGTAACTACAGTAAATATGTTTTATAATTTAAAAGTTTATTGTGATGATATAAAAGGTTGGTGGTTCAAACCCACCAGCAACTCCATTGACGAAAGATGAGGCTATTTGCTCTCAAAAAGATTTATAACCTTGGAAATCCTATATAGGGCTGCTATGAGTCTGAACCGACTCAATGGCACTGGGTTTGGATTGGTTTGGGGTTTGTTTTGTTTTGTTTTTTTGAAGGTGGTCAGTGAGGTAGACACTGGCTTTGACAGTGTCTTGCTCAGAATCATTCCCACCCCTCCTAGACACAGAGTGGACAGGGATGGGCAACTTGGACACTGGCTACCCAAAAAAGGGGGGTGGGGGGCTACAAAGGCAAGAAGTGACTGGCTTACAAGCTTTCAAGAGGGAACCTAGAACCAGAGGGCCTGGAGAAAGGTAGAATCTCCAGTGAGTAGTATTCAATCTGTCTAGGTGGTGCTGATGCAATGAAATCCAGATAGGTCTCTTGTGATACAATAGTGAATAACTGTTATCAGGACTGACTGTGAGAGTTGGAAAAGTAAAGGTAAACGTTTTATAGCAAGGAGGGGCGTGATTAACTTTTCAGTCTAGGAGCGGAGGTCCCTGGGACCGTCAAGGGAGAGGAGCAGAGAGCGGGACCCTACCCAGAGAAGCAATGATGCCTGAAATGGAGCCAAAGATGATGATGGGGAGCGATGCAGCAGCTGGAGACTTTAGATCCAGAGAGGGAGAGCGACTGTGTGCTGAAGATCTGAGGGGCATGGGGGAAGGATTGCATGGAGGGGATTGTAACCATGGCAATGAGAGGATATACGATGGAATGAATGTAAAAGTAATGTTCTCCCATGTAAACTATCATGTAATTCACAATAAATCATTTAAAAAAAGAAAAAAGAAAGTGTCTTGCTCTTAGAATTCAACTTCATCGTGTCTTAAATACTGACAAATATTAAGAGTTAACACATAGGTGGTTTGGGAGAAATATGAGGCTTCCTGTTCCCATGAAAAAGTAAAGCCTCAGTAACTCTATACAGACTACTCTTTTGTCAGTTTATCGTACTGTGGTAGCCTGTGAGTTGCTGTGATTCTGAAAGCTATGCCACCAGTATTTTAAATACCAGCAGGGTCACCCATGGTGGACAGGTTTCAGATAAGCTTCCAGACAAAGACTAGGAAGAAAGAGTGACGAACTACTTCTGAATCTTTAGTCAGTGAAAACCTTATGAATAGCAGAGAAACATTGTCAGATATAGTGCCGGAAAATGAGCCCCTCAGGTTGGAAGAACAATAGTGAGGTTGGCCCAGGATCAGGCAGTGTTTCGTTCTGCTGTGCATAAAGTCGCTATGGGTCGGTACCGACTCGATGGCACCTAACAACAACAACAACTCTATACAGACAGGGTCGCTATGAGTCGGAACCAACTCAATAGCACTTAACATCAACAACAGCTACATATATGGTAATAATTGTCTTCATACTTTTTTTAGCTGCACCTCAATGTCTACATTTACACAAATATAAGTTTATTAGGTCTCTGAGTAGTAATGCTGAGCAAAATCTAGAGTTGTCAATATTCATTTAAAGTTTCCCCAGCAAATGCTATAAAGAACCTGTCCTGAACTAGTTTTGATAATTTATACAAAATCTTTAACCTTATCTACTTTACATCATAACTTTGCCTACTCTTTAAAGCATACTATAACTCAGTTCTACAATTTTGCTTTGCAAATAAAGGATGTGAGTTTTAAAATAAATTAAGTGTAAAACTAAACTAATTAATCATTTATGGATTGCATAATATTAATCAAATAATCTCAAAAGTATAGCGATGTGATCAGATGATGAAGTTTAAACACAACTTACATCTATTTAAGAAATTATCTATATTCTTGTTTTTCCTCAGAGCAGGAAAATCCAAATCAAGGACCAAGGAATTCAAGCCATCCTGTTTCATAAAAGACAAAAAGAGAACGGAAGTTGTTACAATTTTCAACCATTCAAAAAAAAAAAAAAAGGTCTAAATGTGTGTTGTTCTCATTAAATACATGTCAAGTCACTTTGATACGGTATTATCCAGTGGCTCCATATTCAGCAGGTTTAACTAGTTTTCCAACCACTGCCGAGAATATTAGAACTGAACCTACCATGTGTTGTTATATCCTTGTCCACATCAAATACTACCAGAAGCTCAAGATGCTATGAACATAATGTTTGTCCTTCTATTACTTGTCATTCTCCCAAGCTTTTCTCTATTATAAAACCTAAAGGCAATGTGAGCCTACCCTGATTTCCCTTCTCCATCCTTCCTTAACTGAAATTTGGCTGGTTGCCTTCTAATTGCTGTTTTCTCCTGTAATTTTCTTGCATGTAAGCCTTGTCCAAGTTTTTCTGGTGTGTTTTTTTTGTTTTGTTTTGACCCTCTTTCCTACACACATATTTCAGGCATCAAAGACAAGGCTAATGCCATCCTTTGTTGCCCAATTCTACTTCTGTATAATTTCTTCTCTATTCTTCTTTAAAGACTTTTTTAGAAGCTCAGCACTGTTGCTATTATCTACTGAACCACTAGTCATTCCTCTGCCACTTCACCAACTTTGTTTCTTACTACGATTACTTCAACCATCACTCCTTGGGCAGCGACAAAAATAGTGGTTGACATACTGTGATTCTAGAGACTCCGCGCCCCCCCCCCCAACGAAATGGATTGGCACAACAGAAGCAGCATATAATTGGGAAGCTGGCACAGGACTGCACCAACTTTCATTCTGTTTCATTCTGTTGTGCATAAGGTTGCTATGAGTCAGAACCAACTCAACAGCACCTAATAACAATAAGAGACAAGTTACGTAGGTCCAAACCCTGACTCCACTCATATGTGACTTGGGCAAGTTATTTAACTTTTCTGTATCATATTTCCCATACATGTATATATGTAAATATACAAATACATACACATGAGGGAATTTCAAAAGAATTTGTGGGGAGTCTTTTTTTTTTTTTTTTTTTAAAGCTTTTATTTGAGTGATAGTTTACAGGGTAGATCATCAGTTTTATACTCAACAAATCATATTTTGTTTCCTGCAATTATTACAATCCCCTCCATTCACCATCAGCTAATAGTATTTACCTATAGTCCATTCTTTTTTTTTTTTTAAGGTTTTTATTATGGATTGAATGACAGTTTACAGGGCAGATCATCAGTTTTACAATCAACAAATCACACACCTTGTTTTATTACAATGATTATAATCCCTTCTATGTACCATCAGTTAACAGTATTTCTCTCTACTCACTTTAGCTCTTTTTTAAAAAAACAAACAAACAAACGAACACTCAGGCATATATAATAATTTACACCTCCAAATGGCACATTCTGCAAGTCTGCCTCCTGGCCATCAGCTCTTAGTCCCTTTCTTCCCATGAATCTAGAGTCCTCAGTCGCTCCCTCTCTCCATGACCCCATCTCTGGCGTCACTGCTTCTCTGGATAAGGTCTCACATTCTGTTTGTGTTCTTCTTGCTTGATGGTCCTAGGGTCCTCTGTTTCTGGACTGTAAGTTTAACTACTCCCTATTTTTGTTACAAAATGTCTACCTTTACAATTGTGACAGTTGCAATTAGCCATGATAACAATTACTCACTATTGAATCATAAGAATCTTATCCCCATCTCTTTTCATCAGACCCATCTAGACAAGATGAAAACTATTCAGTGGGAACTCTTTCCTGCCCCACACACTCTTAAACTTTGTAACCTCTTGAAACCTTGTAAACCAGTCACTTCATGCATTTATAATCCCTTCATTTTAGGCAGTCAGTGTCTAAGTTGCCCGTCCCTATCTACCCTGTGTATAGAAGGGATAGCATTGATACTTGATGTGAAGACTCCTTCCCTCTCTGTTGGTATTTAGAGTTACTACCTCTATGAGTATAGGTCAGGTTCATCAAATTGTAGCAATTTACCCTTGTTTCCTTTATTAAAAAATAACATTAATTTTTTTTTTGTATTCTTCGTTTAGTCAAGTTCTGATTATCAAGCAATCAAGGCTAGGTCAAATGGGTACTGTCTGCAAGTTTGGGTGTTCTTGTGCATCTCCCCTCACTTCATATCAGCTGGATGCTTCACTCTTAGCTCCAGCAATCTGTGGCTATGTCCTTGTCCATGGGCTCAAGTGTGTCCAGATCTCACCACATTTTGGACCAACCAGCCTTTCCCTCTTTTCTCTCTCATCTCCAGGCCAATGGGAGTCTATGAAACATGGTTGAACTCAGCCCATTTCTTTATTGCTACTCATGTGGCATCTTTTAATTTCATTTTTCTAAGAACTTTTTGAAGCCCTCTCACTTCAAAACATACATAGACAAGGGACTTCAAAAAGTTTGTGGTAAAATTCCATTATCTTTAAATTATATTTTTCCATGTATTTTTCAAGTCCCCTTGTGTGTGTGTATGCATACATACATACATACTTACATATATATACATATACATACTTATATATATATATATATATATATATAGAGAGAGAGAGAGAGAGAGAGAGAGAGAGAGAGAGAGTTAGTTCTTGTGTGGTGTTGTAGGACATTGCAATGGACCAAAAGGTCAGTTTGAACCGCAACACTGGCAGTTCAAATTCATAACTTGCTCCTCAGAAACCCTATATAGGGTGGTTGTGAGTCTGAACCAACTCGACCACACTTAATAACAACAAATACACACACACATATATATAATTATGTGGACCTATGATGAACTGGGACACTTTTGAAAGTGAAAGTAAAATATACATATACACACATATATGTATAATTTACTTTCACTTTCAAATGTCCCAGTTCGTATGTCCACATAAAAACTTGCACACAATAATGTCACCATGGCACCAACTCAGTGGCACCCAACAACAACAAAGAATAAACGCTGGAATGCAAACCTCAGGGCTGGCACTTGGAGCTACACTTGAGAGAAAGATGAGTTTCTGCACCTGCAAACATATACAACTTCCAAAACCCTATGCAGGGTCACTATGAGTTGGAACCAATTTGACACCACTTAGCAACAACAACATTATATTCATGAGTTTAAAAGGAAAACAACATAATGAAGAAACAAACGAGATCTCAATAGAGAAACAAAGATATTAAAAAGCACTAAGTGGAATTTTTAATACAGAAAAAAATGCAACATCTGAAGAAATAACATTTAGAAGAGTAGAAGAAGTTTACCATTGATAAGCATACATTTCTCTTTTTAACTACTTGGTTGAACTGTGCCCAAAGGTCCACATAAATTAATATAATTACTATTAACAAACACACAAACTTGCACACAAATATTACTGCTGCAATATGCATAAGAGCCAAAGTGTCCTTCAACAAAATGCAATAATAGCCATACAATGGAACATTATTAGGTCTTTTATAAAAAATGAAGTACTGATATAACTTACAACATGGATGATCCTTGAAAATTTATGCTAAGTGAAATAAGCCAAACACAAAAGGGCAGCTGCTACATGATCCCATTTCTATAAAATATCTGTAATAGGCAAATGCATAAAGACAGTGGGTTCGAGCCACCAACTTTTTGGTTAGTAACTAAGCACGTTTAAACATTGCTCCTGCACACTATTAACAGTGAGCAATTGCAAAAAAGTACAAACTTTAATTATTGTCAAGCTCACTTACAACACAAACCAGTTAAGTACTTTCCAAATAAGTTACTGAATCAATCTTTGCTCAATAAATGAACAAACAAGAGAACAATGAATAATAAAGCAGTCCCTTGCAGTGATATGCAGCTGTACTGGATCTTAATGCCTTTAAAATCATGAGCTTCCTATATGAAACTACAAAGGCTATTAATAAGCACATAGTTCACCTCTGTCCCGAAAAAGAGAATTAAACACTGTAAGGCCAAAATCGTAACAGTCTGGAATGGCATGATTCAATGATGTCTGGTTTGTAACATGTGGAGAACTGAAACCTCAACAAATAGAATATTAAAGTTTTAACACATATTTTGTAACAGAATGCCTTCAGTACATAACTTTAACTCTATGAAAACTAAGATCTCAGCTTAATAATCACTTCCTCAGAGAAACCTTCCCTACTGTCTTGACTTAATTCCCCCACTACCATGCTACCAGAGTTCTAGTGTAGCGCTGTGAGTTAATGCACTGGACTGCATAGTTGGTTTGAACCACTAAGTGGGTAGTTCAAGCTCACCAGCTGCTCCTGGAAACCCTATACAGGGTTACTATGAGTTAGAACCAACTCAACGGCACTCAACAACTACATATTACAATTTAAGTTTGCATTTCTTCTATAATAATTTATTTCACTTATAAGCCATGAAGTAAGTTACCTTTCATGTAGATTGCTCATCACTGTATTCCCATGGACTGTTGGAGTGCCACGTACATTGCAGTAATTCAATAAATATGACTTCAGAAATGAAACATTTAAAGCAAAATATTCTCAGATTTTTTGTCTTCCACTAAAATCAGACATATTACCAGGAGGGGCCAGTCCTTGGAGAGGGACATTATGCTTGGTGAAGTGAAGGGTGAGCAAAAAAAGAAGAGTACACCCAGCAAGATGGATTAGCACAGTGGCAGCAGAATGAGAGAAGCAGGCAATGTTGTGTTCTGTTGTACATGAGTCACTATGAGTAGAAACCAACTCAACAACAACAACAAAAGAGTCCAATGAAATTTATACTGGTGTACCATCCCAAGTTATTTACCTTGTATTAAGTAATCCTTGGTTACCTAGAAAATGGGAAAATACAACTTTAGTAAAACACCAAGACAACACATCTGGCGGACTGGTAATTGTTGGATATAAAACAATTAGTGATTAGCTCTCAGACCCAAAGCTCTCAAGCTAACTAGTTACACAAGTTTACTACCAATGATTTTACTAACCTTGTTCATTAACTAACA